AAGTTTGGTAGAAATCCAGGATAGTTTAAGAAAGTTATTAAAATTTCAAAAACTTTAACCACAGAGTGAATATTTGTGGACGCCGCCGACGACGACGACGACGACGACGACGACGCCGACGGAATGTAGGATCGCTATGTCTCGCTTTTTCGACAAAAGTCGAAGGCTCGACAAAAATAAAATGCTTCGCTGGGGCGCAGCTTGATACGACCGCAGAGGTCGAACCCTGAACAGTTGGGGCAAGTATGGACACAAAATTCAAGCTTGATACAGCTATGACTTTGGATTGTCATTAAATATTTGACACAGCATAGGTTTCTGACACAGGATGAATGTGGTGTAAGAACTGGAAAAAATTTAATTTACCTATTATGGTGGAATATCCATAAACTAAATTGTTTGTTAATTTCAATATATCAAAGAATATGTAGAATTCAATGTTTGATGTAATGTAATAAAGTTGAAATTTGGACCGTTTTTGTTCAATGTGGACCAATTTGGTAACATGTATAAATAATCAAAAATCTAAATACATGGGAGCCCATTTAAATACATCATAAAGGTATTAAAATAGAAAGTGACATCATAGTCATGGCTAAAAATAAACAAAAATTCTTAATCAGCAACATTTAAAGTAATATCTAAAAATAAAATTCCTTTGTAACCATAAAAGCCCATTTAAATACATCATAAAGATATTAAAATAGAAAATGACATCATAGTCATGGCTAAACATAGCAAAAAACCCTTAATCAGCATCATTTAACAGTAATATCTAAAAATGGAAATTACATCATAAAGGTATTAAAATAGAAAATGACATCATAGTCATGGCTAAACATAGCAAAAAACCCTTAATCAGCATCATTAAACAGTAATATCTAAAAATGGAAATTACATCATAAAGGTATTAAAATAGAAAATGCCATCATAGTCATGGCTAAAAATAAACAAAATCCTTAATCAGCATCAGCAACATTTTATAGTAATATCTAAAAATAAAATTCCTTTGTAACCATAAAAGCCCATTTAAATACATCATAACAGATATTAAAATAGAAAATGACATCATAGTCATGGCTAAACATAGCAAAAACCTTAATCAGCATCATTTAACAGTAATATCTAAAAATAAAAATTTCTTTGCAACCATAAAAGTAAAATAGAAAATGACATCATAATCATAGCTAAAAATAAACAAAAATGTTTTTTATTGGCAAATTTTAAATGGAGTTTATTATACTAAAACAATAAATTTGCAACCATAAACATGATAAAACCCCATTTAAACACATCATAAAAGTATTAAATAATTCAACTACATCATAAGGCTATAAAAATAGAAAATGACTTCATAGTCAAGGCTAAAGGTAAACAAAAAACCTTCATCAGCAAAATTTTATATTGGCAAATTTCCAATGAAGTTTATTACACTAAAATTGTTGGCAAATTTCCAATGCATTTATTAACAATAAAGTTATTGGCAAATTTCCAATTTACATAATTTAAAAGCAGTGTAGATGAGATATTTAAATGAGTTTGAATTACCAACCTTACACTGCTTTTAAATAATGTTCTTTACTCAATTATTTGTCTATTAAAATGGAAACCCTTGTTTTTTAACCTTTTTTCCCCTTATTCCTTAAACATTAGAGCCATAACCCCCCCCCCCCCCCCCCCCCCCAAAGCCAATTATTACTTTCCAATGTAACCTAAATTTCCAATATACATAATTTTAAATTTCAATTCCTCATGATATATAACCGTATCATTATTATTTTCTTTCATATATAAATCTGAAACAACCATCTTTAAATGGAAAATTTTAAAGAAAAAAAAAGGAAAAAAAAAAATCCTACCCCCCACACATTTTTTCAACCCCCTTTTGATTCATCATCCCCCACCTCAATCACAACCTTCAATTTGTGGTATGGTACATTGCAATACAATTTCACAGAGATCCATACACTTGAACACAAGTTTTTGTTGCAAACTAAAAAAATCCTTATTTTCGACCAATATTTGGCCCCTTATTCATAAATGTTTGAGCAATTAACCCCAAAACTCAATTCCTACTTTCTCTTCGTGATAAAAAATAACTAACTTAAAATGTAAATTTTAAACAAAAAAAAAAGGAAAAATAAAATTACCCCTTTTTTGACCCCCGCCCCCTTATGATTCATCACCCCCACCCCCCTTTCCCCCCAAACCAAGCTCAATAACAGCCTTGCCTTTGTGGTATGGTACCTTGTAATACAATTTTAGAGAGATCCATACACTTGAACACAAGTTATTGCAAGAAACTAAAAAATGCTTATTTTAAACCCCTTTTTAGGCCCCTTATTACTAAACGTTTTGGGCAATTACCACAACACTCAATTCCAGCTTTCCCTTTGTGAAATGGAACCTTGTAGTAAAATTTCAGAAAGATCCATACACTTACACACAAGTTATTGTCATGAAACTAGAAAAATGCTTGTTTTTTGCCCCCTTTTGGCCCCTTATTCCTAAAATATTGAGGCAATTAACCCCAAAATCAATCCCAGCATTGACCCTTTGTGATATGGAATCTTGTGGTACAATGTCAAAGAGATCCATATGCTAACACACAAGTTATGTGTGGAAGTTACAAAAATGCTTATTTTCGGCCCCTTTTTGGCCCCTAATTCCTTAACTGTTGGTACCATAACCCCCAAAATCAATCCCACCTTCCTATTGTGGTATTGAACCTTATGGTAAAATTTCATAGAGATCCATTCACTTTAACTAAAGTTAGAGTGCGAAAACCATTGTGTATTCGGACGACGACGCCGGACGACGACGCCGGACGACGACGACGACGACGCCAACGTCATACCAATATACGACCTCAAAATTTTTTTGCGGTCGTATAAAAACTGCTTTCTTGTTTGTTAAGGGACTTCCATTTTTCTAGTTGTTTAAATTTATGGATTAAACAGGTACCATGCACAGATTAGGATATGCTTATTTTTCCAGGGAAGATAATTTTAATCCCGATTTCTGTATTATGGTATATCACTTCTTCACTTTTTTATGGTTGACATCACGCTTTGATTGACCATTATGGAATTTTTATTTCACAAATGTTTATAGACATGCTCCCGTTGTCGTACATTTCAACTTATTTAAGACAAGTTAGTGACTGTATATGTACTGCCTTGCTCTACATTTGCACACAATCTGCCATAGATTTGGAAACAACAAAAATCCGCCATAGATTAGGAAATTACAAAACTTGCCATAGATTAGGATTTTAACAAATCTGCTATAGATCTGGGATGGCATGACGTCATATTTACCATAGATTAGGAATCTGCCATAGATCTGGAACCCACCATAGATTTGAGTCCTACATATATATCTGCACATTTTAAATATATGCTCGACCGGGTCAACCATTGGTGTTAGCTACTTATAGTAGTCATGATACTGTCTGTATAGAGTGGTGACTTCTTTCGGACAGTTACCTTGTGAAGTAGCAGATTTAAAATCTGGCTCAGCATGTCAGTTAACTACAAAGCAGGGTTTATATTCCTATCACATTAACATGTTGTCGTCCTGACATTAATGTAAAAAGTTTGCCTCTGTATGTTAAACACCCATCTTCTATCATGTACTTCAATCTGTTTAGGTTGTACTTTAAGACACATAATAGGGGGTGGCTGTTTAACGTCCAGTGGTAATTTTTCTGACTGCTTAAGACGCCTTTACATTAAATCCTTTGGAAGGTGAACTGATTCACATTTTAGTCATAGAGAACATGCATGATTTCTTCACTATTTAAAATTGGGCTTTGAACTAGCTTTCAGTAACTGTGAGTGCTCTTAAATTGGTACTTCGTGTCTTTTAGCTATGTGTTTATGTGCTTTTTATCGATTCTATGAGTAATGATTTTTTTCAACTGTTTTCAAGAGTTTGTTCTGAAGTTGTAATACACCATTGTCCCATGTAGTGGCAATGAAAAATCAAAAACAGATAGCATACAATCCATGATCATTATATAAACTGTAAAAGTGACACCATGGAAAAGGTCTTTTTGGTAAATATTTTAACTAGTAATTGGACCCTTAAATATAAAGCACATGCAAGCACCAACTAAATAATAAACTATGATGTTTTGTCTTTATGAAGAACACCAAGCTTGTAAATATCTGTGCTCAATATTCTCAACTCAAAAATAATTAATTTTGGTCCTTCTTGAGCTTCAAAAATATTTGAAATTACTTAGTTTAATCTACTGCGGGTATATATCGTTTATCTACTCAAAAATGACCTCATTTTGTAATACTTCAATTTCTAGGCCAAGTAGGGCCCTTAGCACACCTCCTTCTAGTAGCAATGCAAAGTTATTTAAGGAATTTCATAAAATGAGGCCTGGCCAAAATATGCTCTTATCATCCTTGGTCCTTAAGATTCTAGGGCTGTAGTATTATCATCTGTCATAAAGCAAAGTTAACTATAACTTTAAGAATGACACATTTTAACAGCAACATCATCAGAATGAGGCCAAAAGGCAGATTTGCTAGACTTTGGCAAAGAAATAGCATAGGAATATTTTGGCAAAATTAAAATAAACCACCACCATCTGAGCAAATTTATTGCTAGTGAGTAAATAATCACAATAATACTTTTTGAGCAAGATTATTCTATGTATTGCTTTCAGCATTTGTTAATCAATATATTATACAATTTTGCATTTTTTTCTGTAAATGGCTGTTATACTGAAGTAAATAGATTGAACATTTCATTTTGCAAATTTGAGAACTTTTAAATTCACCAATTTGGCCACAAATCTTTGCCTTTTTATCTTTGAATTTATCAAATTTGCAATCCTTGCACAACAAATGATCATATCAAACTTCTATTCTGACCATCACCTTATCAAAACTTTATCTTTTGGACAAATCTGTATTCAGCTTCTACACTTTAATCATAGCAATGACAAGACAAGACAGCCGTGAATTAAATAATAAAACACATTGAAATTTAATATAAATATTTTATTACTTTTGGCTTCTAAAGTAAAGCCATATTATAACATAGTATATTAGGTGGGAATTTTATACTTTGTATAGTACAAATGAATAATAATTTGAATATGAATCTGAATAGACATATGCAATCTTTTTTCCTGTACAATTTTTTGGAATGGCTGTATTAGGAAATTTCTATTAAACAAATTTCCAACCCAGATCTTCATTTTGCTTCTTGACCATTTGGCATTAGTATTCAACTGTACAATTGTTTCTGATTATTACCTACTTCTTATCCTAGTAAATAAGTGAGATACAACAATTATCTATCTTTCTTTCAAGAATAATTCAATATGTGAAATATCACATGTGTTTTAATTTAAGCACCAAATCTGTGATTCTGAAAGCCAGGTAAATAAGAATAATTATTAGCGGGGTAGACATCAAATGGAACAAAAATTAAAAAAAAACAAGAAAGAAATGAAAAGAAAAGATGGATAGGGATATTTAATGCCATTCTATGTTAGGGAATACTTATATACAAGGGTTGATATGTTCTTTCAATGCCATTAATCTTGCAACAGTAACAAATACAAAATGGCCAAGAAGGAAATAATCTACTCTAAACACTTGTTCTGTTAAATACTGGAGTATTATTCTGTATAAAATATACTATACAATTACATAAAAATATCAACAAGGTATCACAGGTATTAATGTATGTAAGTCTTTTATAATTTATAACTATGTACAATTATCAATGTCATTCATGCAAATAAAACAAATACAGTTGTAATATTTACCCTTGTTGAACCCCATAGAAGTTTTATTTTTGTGGGCTAATATTATTTCTATGTTAATGAGCTCCAACCTTTATTCAACAAAACATTGCACATAAACAGCCTACTGGCCATGAAATCAAGAAGACAAATCATAGAAATTTATCATTTATACAAATATTTTGGAACATATTCCTTCTAAAGGAATGGTTCTTTTTTCTGCCTTTGCCTCTAGTTGATTTTTACTGATAAAAGTGTATAAGAAAATATAGCATCAACCTTTATCACATTCAAATTTTCAAGGTAAAACCCTGTTTAGATATTCTTAATATAAAAACATACTGGCAGACCTGGAGTTGAAAAAAGCAACCTGGCTTTTAACCCAGACTCTTGTAGACCAACATCAATTTGTAGATTTATATCATAATGAAAATTTAGAATTGTTTATTAAGATGTATCACAGTTTCTTGTAACCCCCATTTCCCATTTTTCATACACATATACAAGTATAAATGCTAACATTGTTAATAAAATGATATGTTTCAAAAAGTTATGTTATCAAAATGAACAAGTATATTAAATGCTTAAATTTTATTATATTTCAAAAATTTAAAGATTCATTAGGTATTCAACTATCTTGCTTTTATATCTAAAAAAAAAACCCAAGAAAATACAAAACAAAGGTTTGTCTATAAATTTCACTCTCTCCACTATACAATAGATGCACATTTTTTTGGTAACTGGACATTTCAGTTCTGAATCTTTGCCATTTTTAGGTAACTGGACATTTCAGTTCTGAATCTTCGCCATTTTGTCACATTTGTCTTTCAGGTTCAAAATATTTGTGTTCTTCAAATATTTAGATCATTTCTGGATTCTGATAAATGGTCATAAGTTCTTATATATTGCACTGATAAAAAAAATGATTCCTTTATGAAAATCCTCTTGATTTTAATCACAAAGATGGGTTCTTTCAAAACAGAACTATTATGAATCTGTGCTCTGTTGTGAATGATAAAATTAACTTATTTATTATCAAAATTAATTTATTCACTTTAAACCATAAATAAAATGATTTTTTGAAATATCTACTAAAATATTATTACTTAAAATGCTGTTGTCCTTATATAGTGAAAAAAGAAGATTCAATTGCTAAAAAATCATTTTTGTTAAAAGTACCCAAAATGTAGAATATATTATTCAAGTATGACATTCTGTCTTTTACATAGGTTAACAAAGCATCTTATCTCAATACTTCTGCTCTTCACCTCAAGACCAATACACTCTGAACCTAAATGTCATTCAAATGCAGTAAGTTATGGCTTGTTAGTTTATCACATTTTCTCACTTTGATTCAGCTGATCACACAAAGGACACAGCTCTTGAAGAGAAGATAACTCTTGTATTTCTTTATAGCACCATTGAAGTTTTGTTAATAATTTTCAAGTTGACAGTTCAAGGTATTCCTGAATGCCAGTGGGTTTTGTTAACAGGCACCTGCAAAAGAAAATTAAAACAGTTTCTACTTTTTATAATAAACATGACAAAAACTTTTTTGATGTATTTCCAATAACTTTTATGCAAGTCTATATAAGGCACACTCATAGCCAGGGTGGGCTATGACGACCCCCCTCCCCAAAAAATCTTTTTATTTTTTTATTCAAGACTTGTAGAGTCAAGATTCAGATTGAAGTTGACTAAATGTGATAGACTAACAAATCTTTTTATTTTTTTATTCAAGACTTGTAGAGTCAAGATTCAGATTGAAGTTGACTACGAAAGTCAGCACATCATAGCCCCAAATAACCTCCTCAGAAACACCCTTACTATGGGCCTGCAATTGACACATTAAGGGCAAATAACTTTTTCCAAAAATAAGGGAGAAGAATTTATCTTCAATCTTTCTTCAGCTATTACATTATTACTGATCTACTGCTTAGGCCAAAATAAATGAATTGTGTGTTTCCTATTTCATCTCCAAAATAAACTGTTATCACAGAGATATGTCTCGCCTTTTTGTAATTTTGATAATGCAAATGTTGAAATTAAAATAGCAATACTTTAACATGTAAGTTATGCAAATATTCAAAGTCGATGAACCATGACTGAAGGTACATGGCTAAACAATCTCCATGGAATGAGATGTGCCAATGCTAATACAACTGCATACCAAATACCATTGACTTATTATAAGTCGTTCCCTTTAAACAAACCTAAACACAAACATTAACTTGTAAACTATGTAAAAGTTTCAAAGTCAATGAACCATGATCAGGGGTGGGGCTATATAATCTCCATGGAAATGATACTTGCAAATGCCAATAAATTTGCATATCAAATATCATTGACCTAACATTAGCAGTTCATCTTAAACTGATCTAATCACAAACTAATACATGTAAACTAAGCAAAAGTTTCGAAGTAAATAGACCATGACTGAAGGGGTGGGGCCAAATATTCTCCATGGAAATGAGATGTTTTTTTATTTTTGTCAATAAAATGTTTAGGGTCGGTGTCGGAAATGGAGGTAGGATAGGGAAACCGGAAACACACCATTTATTTATTTTGGCCTTATTCATAACTTTTAGTTCCATATTTGATAAGAAATAAATTAGCTAGAGCACCTTCAAGGCTACACAGAGTACATATTGTAAATAATTTTTCTCCTATATATATCGCACTAGGTACATTTAAGACTTTTCTGATAATCAGTCATTATTTCAAGTTCGATGTAGTTCTTAGAAATATAATTATAACCTATTCAAACTAAATTGTTCTCTTTATTCTTAAGTTTGCCACAATCATCTAAATTGACGAGTAAATAACAGACTCATTCCATTGTATACTTCAGGATTTATCCCATGAAATGATCAGCTGTTGTCAGCAGCAACTTAGACAAACTTTATTTCATTTCAATAAAAGTTAAATATAAAATCACAACCCACCTTTTTCATTGCACTTCTTCCACCAAAGTTTTTGATAGCTATCATTAATTCTTCTCGTGGATCCAATTTTGGTTCTATATATTTACGAGGTTTACTTTTAGACTTTGGTTTTGTTTGTTCATTTGAAGAAGTAACCTCTACATTAGCTTTCCCGTTTGGCAAGGCAGGGGCAACTGGAGGTGGAGGAACAAATGTTTGTCTCACAGAAGTCGATTCAATAGTTTGGTCTACATGATTTCCTATATCAACTGAAATTTGTTTTTGAGATGATTTGTCAAGTGATGAAGGAAGGTTATTTTGTGATGACTGGTCCACCAAACTACCTTGCTGTTGTTGTGATGATAAGGCTTCCATACTTTGTTGCATTTGTTGTATCATCTGTTGCTGAAGTTGAATTTGTGACTGTAACTGTTGTTGAAATTGTTTAGTAGTTTCATCAGAAGGAATTGCCTGACTTGATGACAGTAACCTTTTGTTTTCTTCAAGTTGTATTTTCCACATTGAGAACTGTTGTTGTAATTGTTTATATTGAGCAGTTAATACTTCCTGATGGTCTATATTAGAATCACTTTCAGCCTCTACACCAGAGTCATTTACAGACTTTTCCAAGTTGCTGCTTACTGAAGTTTTTCTACCAGAGGAATCATCTTCCTGTTTGGTAGAATTTGAATTCACAGAAAATACAATTTCTGTTCTTGAAACTACAATATCATCTTTTACATTGTCTTCACTTTTATTCTCTTCTAAGGAACTGTCTAAACTTGCCCTAACTGCTGGAAGATTAATCATAGAAATTGATTTCTCTTCTAAAACATGTTCCATTTCCCCTTCAGAATTTGGGGAAAAACTAAGTTCAGAACATTTTGTTTTCACTTCACCCTTATGTCCCCTCACAGAACCTGCTTCGGTAATGATAAAGCCATCATCCATTTCAATATTATGTCCCTTAGTTGGAGTTATAAATACATTATCATTGTTTATGGCAAAGTTAGATTTGATCTCGTCCAGTGTGGCTACAGTGTGACGTTTTTCTGGAGTACTTTGATATGTTGGTTTGGGTTTTGGTTGAATCTTTTTCTTTTTTCTCATTAACGAGAAATCAACTTTACTCAGGTCATCAAATGTCAAAACAAACTCTTCCTTTGGTTTTGGTTTTTCTGGTTCTTTTGGGATAACTTTTTCTTCTTGTATGATTTGAGGAACTTTTGCAACTTCCGGTATTTTATCTTGTTTTGTTTGCAATTCTTCCATTTTGACCTCTGGTTTCTTTTCGGTTACATATGAAACTTCTGTGCGTTCTGTTTCTACTTCTGCTTCAACCTTTTCTGGTTCTGAAAATGGATAAATGATTTCAAATGTTTCTGTTATAACAATTTCTTCCTCTTCCTCCTCCTCCTTTTCATGTTGAACCTCTTTGTTTTCTTCCTTATACTCTACCTCATCTGGAGCTTCCATTCCTGACTGAAATTCTGGGGGAACGGTGTTTATTTTGAAATCATACGTAATTTCAGAAACTTCTCTGTCTGAGTTTCGCATATTCTGGATTTGATCCTTTTCACTTTGTTTTGATTCTGATTGAGGAATACTTTCCATTTCATCTGAATCCTCCCCATTATCTTTTGAGAAAATATACACAGCATCATCAGCAACTGCCTCATTTGAAGTAACATCCTCATCAAAATCGTCTGTAACCTTCTTGCTACCATCTACAGTCATTTCTTTCATTTTCTCCACAAACTGTGCCATCTCTGTTTTATATTCAGGTGTTTCTAAAAGAAAAGAAATGAAAGCATGATCAGTGTTCATAATATAAAATTCTATCCTCATCTGTGAAAGCTGAATTCATGTCATAAGTTATACATGTATAAATTATTAGACTAAGAGGTTAAATAATAGGACATAAAACTTATTTTGGCAATAATCATTTTTAAAGTGAGGTGATAGTGTGTCTTTTTATTCATTTTTTACAGGAATTTATTCTCTAAAAAATATCAAAAGAAAACAGTTAAATGTACATCAATGAAAAAACAATACAATGTCTTACATCAAATAAAGGCATGTGTATAGTACACATTATTCCCATATTTAAAGTTGAATTTTTTTGTTCTTAAAAATGACTAAATGAATAAGTGATGTTCTCAAGCAGCCTGACAAAACTGGTGAAATCAAGTGGTTAAGTGTCCAGATATATACAGTCTGTTGATTTATAAATATCATGATCAGGTATATACATCAAACAAAGAAGAAACTAATTTCAAGGTCCATTGAAAATCTGAAAGTCAGTGTGTTTACACTCTGATCAGATTTTCAGGGACTGTTGAAGATATGTCAATTTGTAGGCTTTATTTAATTGAAGCATTCAATATCTAAAAGTACTTCAAACCAAAACACTAAGATAAACTTCTACTACAAAGAAACTCTCTTTTCTTCAAAACTGACTGCGATGAAGCTAAAAATGCATGCTTTGCTATACAATTTACCTAAAGTTTCATGCCATTCCTTTATGATAAAAGTTCTGACTAATCTTTTTTAATGATTACTGAAGTTTTTATACTTTTTTTTTCCATCACCACAACTTTGTTTCTATGTAAGATAAGAATGAAAAAACTCTTTCCAATATCTTAATTTTTGAGATTCAGTTTTGTGTAATGCTGTCTTCTCTCCAAGATATACTACAGTACTAGTCAATTTAACATAGGCAAATGAAGCATAAAATCAAGGTCATAATAATCTACTCCCAAATATGCATTTCTATGCAAGTGAAGATGATTCTTATACTAACAGTTGACAGTATATTTTATTGGATATAAACTTATTAAGTCAACCAAACGTGAAATGTAGTACACAGTGACCTACTTTTGCCTAAATGTTGACCTACACTCCAAAATACATATCTACACAACTTTTGAGCACACTATTACATTAAGTTATAGCTACTGTGATATGAACTCAGATGTAAAACGTAACAAATAAAGTGTGAAATGCATAGTCTCACAAGTTGAGATGATTCTATTCCATGTGTACTTGTACTGGTATTGACATTGATATGAAGTCAGACATAAACTTAACCAAAGCCAATAAAGCATAAAATGTAGGTTACAGTGACCTTCTCCCCAAAATGCATATTTACAGTTTTAGATTTTATAATCATAGTAACCAATATATGAAGTCAAAAACTTAACCAAAGACAATCAAGCATAAACTACAGGTTTTGCCAGGATGCTGACCCATTCCCCAAAATGTCTTATATAATCAAATAACTTATAGAACAACAAAGGGAATATCTGGAATTTCACAGATATAATTTGTTTATCACATTAAATGCAAGATGTAACTGCACTTCCAAGTATGGCTTATAGCTTCAGAAAGTAAGGTCTTGTTTATAAGTACTTAGATGAACACTTCATTAAGTAGATTTGATTTTGTGTTGGAATGTTTACTTTTGTAGGTATTAAGAATGATAATTCAAAAAATAAGGTTTGCTTTTATTTTAAAGATAAACTACAAAAAAAGTTGTTGTTTTATTTTTCTAGGGCTTTTGTGAAAAGAAAAAAAAAAGTTAAAGACAAAGCATTAAATAAGCAATGAAAAAGAAACCTTTCTATAACAAAATGTTACCATATTAAACATGTTACATATTTAAACAATATCAATGTTATTTTTCTTACAGAAAGTATATTGTGTTAATGTGTTACAAACATGATTAGAATATATAGATGATGTCCTTGTCAAAGTATTATCTATAAGAGATCTTCCTTGTTCAGGTAGTGGATATACTGTGGATTCAGTAATGCATGTGGGATACCAATTTTTGTAGTTTTCGTGGGTACAGCAGCACCAGGAATTTTTAATGTTCACCAAAGTACAAATTTTGGATATGCTTGTATGCAAACTTTTGTAAAACTGAGAAATTAATTATCCACGAAAATACAATTTTTCCCCAATCCACGAAAATTGGTACCCTTGAACATAATGAATCCACATAACAGTTTACAGTGTTTTCTTCCTTCTTACTATTTTGGTAGTATCAGATAAAGATAATGGTGCCAGTTTTATTTTTGTATTTCATAATCCAAGAATTGGTAGATTTCTAGGCTAATTTCAGTTATACTTTCTTTTGAACATTTCAGTTTGTCAAAATTATATCAAAATTGCAATCTGAAAAAAAAAAATTGTTGTTGAAGAATTACACTTTTACCCTGTAACCATTGGTAACAGACAAGAACCCTTGTTAAATCAGTCACTGTTGATAAAATTAACACAAGGACACCATTCTTTGCTGAAGTTAAAAATGCCCTTCCAATGCTAGCCAATTAAAAAAGTATAAAAGAAAAAAAGTTTCTTGTGTTAGCAGTGATGAGGCACTATTATGAGATGGTCACACATGGTATCCCACAATACCTTGTTCTGCCCGCATCACTTCCTCTTGGCAAACAGCTATTGTTCGTTCAAAATCCATGCTAACATCATCAACGGTATTAACAGAACTGATGCTGGTATGACTTTCAGCTCGGCTATGCACTGTTAGGACAAGGTAAAATAGAGGATATATATGGATTACACAAGCAAGAACATGCATGCAATCTCAAGATCTGTGTATTCTATATATAATAAAATTAAACTAATTCATCAATTATAATTAGTTATTTAAAGTTTTCAATTATTATTTAAAGTTATTGTTTTTTTACTGCCCCATGGTACATTTACCCTCTTTTTAAAAAAAAAAATCAAAAGAAATTATGTGATACTATAACAGTATTTGTTGTACAATAAAATAATAAGAGAGATTTGGAAGAAATAATATATAGAGTGTCAGTTACAACAGGGTACAGATAATGCACAGATCTTGATTGAATTAGAACAAAGACATGAAGGTCCAACACAAGACAAATATATAAATAAATATTTTATAAGTTCTGTATACAACTATATGATTTTTTAAATTAAATTTGCAATCCTCATTGGTAAATTTGCAATCCTCAATGACAGAATAATTGAGATATACTTTAATCTAAAAAAAATCTTCCTATTCATTCAAAGCCTTCATCATTTTTTCCTTTCTAATCAGACATTTATTAAATTTGGGGATTAATGTGCAGTCTTATTTTTTCTCTTATTATTCACTAAATCACTGATTTATTTTAGCAAGTCAAATTAACATCCACAACAGATGTGGTAGAGAATATTATGATCTTCTAAAAATTATGTGCATATGGATTACAACTCAAGACATAGAATCCTCAAAGATAAAAAAAAACCCAGTAATTATATAATAATTTCCTAAAATGTAACAACTCTTTAATCTAAGTGCATGTAATTAAAGAATCACATTAATTTTAAGCATAAGAGTTTAAATTTTTGGCAGTATCATGCAAATTAATCTAAAAGTGCAAATTAAATGTGCAGAAATAAGGCTAAGTTTTAACATCTAAAAAGCAAGAGTAATGCTTAAATGTTATTCATGGTATGCAGTTTTTTGTTTTGTTTTTATGGGGAAAAAAAGCAATTTATCAGCAGAAAAACAGAAAAGAAAATATACAGTTATCGAGTTAGTAAGAGATCTTGGTCAATAGGTCTGAGAATTTGGGTTCTTGAATACATTCTAACACTGGCAGGTTTTTTATATTTATTTTTCTAATGCTGCAAACTGAATTTCAAATAATTTAAAGTTTATGTTTCAGAGATTGGAATCTTCTAATATTCTTTGACTAAACACTTTAACCCCCTCCCAAAAAAGGTACAGTTCTCAATAAATCAAGATTTTTTATTCATTTCTGACTGTTTTATTTTGAAGGTTCATCCTATACCACAAAGCTAAAATTTACATGAACTGATAGTGTATGTACTATTCTATTCTGCTGACATAACCTGGGTTTGTGGTAACAGATTTATGAATAGGTAGTACAGAAAACAGGAAAGGTTGCAATGTACTAATGCTTTCAAATGTGCAACACACACACATGAAAATCACAACATAAATCCTACCATTATCTTCCCAGTATATTAAACTGTCTAATCCTTCACATAAAAATAGTATAAGAAATGTTGATGCCATACATGAAATATTGTGTTGTAAGGGGAATAACTCAAATTTATTAGTCGGGTAGTACATAACAGCCATAAAGAATATCTCATTAATTTTGAAATTTTTTTACAATATGCATATGTTTATTTGCAAGTTCCTTTAAAGCTAAAAGAATTGGAGCTTATACACAAACTTTATTAAATGAACCTTACTTAAATCTAAAGAGTTCATGAACATTTTATATTATATGTACATGCTTATATAATAGCAAGACAATAATACCAAATATAAAGGTCTGTTTTGAAAGTTAGACATAATATAATACCAAGGTGCTATACTTAACATAATGTAGACGATATACTGAAGCACCATAGTAAACACGAAATATCAGAAGAAAGCTATCATTACAAAGAACCTCACTAAACATCATGAACTAGAGCATTAAATGATAGCATTAATATACAGGATAATTCCCTAATAAGATTTTACACTAGATCTAAACTGAATATTTCAAACGATGAGCAATTGTTCCTACATAAGATTCTGATTTGGATAAGAGCAAACCAATACGCCTTTATCTACAGTAGAAGGTAAAAAAAATTTTAACTGTGCTCTCATAATTGCTTTCTTCTTTTTTAATGTTGTTCTGTGTGTGATTGTATTTATTTACTCATACATAATGGTAAATGGTTTTATATATTAATGTGAAAATGGTTATATTAGTCTTTACATGGGATGGTTACAATTATATGGTTGACTATAGGTGGGATGGATAATAATACTAAATAGTGTTGTTTATAGGTGGGACAGTTATAGCTAACAGTATATTGTATGGTCTATAGGTGGGACAGTTATAGCTAACAGTATATTGTATGGTTTATAGGTGGGACAGTTATAGCTAACAGTATATTGTATGGTTTATAGGTGGGACAGTTATAGCTAACAGTATATTGTATGGACTATAGATGGGATGGTTATAACTATATAGTCTGGATGGACAAGCAGTAGATAAATACTTACTACTGACAGGGGAATCTGTAGAACTTCTGGTGCTTACTGGACCATATGAGTTACTGTCATCGCTTGTCTCAACACCAACATCCACAGTGTCCACGCGACCATTAATTATCATGTTATAATCCACAGGCTCAGAATCATCTGGTGGTGGTTCTAAAGGTGGAGGTGGAGCTATGAAAGCACATGGTCTGGGTTGATGTGATAATGTTAAATCCACATCAATGTCCTCGCTGTGGATGGAAGAATTTTCTACCATCATCATTCCCTCACCACTGGTATCTTGGTCATCTAAATTCTGGTCCAAGCTATCCAGGACTGCATTTATTGCAACATCATCATCTTCTAAAAATATAAATATACCAGTCAATCAGCTTTAATGGTTAGCTTTCTTTGGAGCAATTTAATTCATATTGTTCAACCAATTTTATAATTGGAGTCAACAAATGATGTACATGGTTAAGTTCTGTTGTTTATGTTCTACGATTGTATCAAACCAGTATCATTGGCAGCAACAATTATCCTACATAGCAGTTTTCAGCCACTCAAATGACGATATGCCAAATGATATAAAAAGTATAAAGTAATAAGATGGGGTACATTTTAAAAGAAATATTCATATAGTTAACGTAAATAGACGAGCTGTCATTTTTTTGGGGGTAAACACAATGATATTACTTTGTCTGTTGGTTGACTCGAAGATACTAGTTGGTTAGCGTTGTTATTGAAGAAGATATAATAAATGAATGTACACAATAGCTTTCTAAGGAAATACTAAAAAAACCTTAACAGCACTTTGATTGCTCTTTTTTGGGCATTCTTTTAGTCCCTTGATTCTCGTTCAACTTTACAGAACAAGAAAGCACAGATTGAAATAGATCACCAGCTTGATACAATATAACTAAATCATATTGGAATCTTCAAGATAATGACTTACTTTGTGCACATGTATCAAGAAAACTTAATTGTATCACTGAGCCATGAACATAAGATCTAGGTCAGGTGAATGACTGAAATGAAACTAAGCTGTACGGTTCTAAAAATCATATATGGTTGACCTAATTTTCTAAGCAAATGAGAAAAAAATCTATCAAGAAGCTTTAACATTAAAAGAGAGGTGAAAGATACTGAAGTTGAAAATAAACTGACAACGCCATGGGTAAAGAACAAAAAGACTAACAGACAAACAACAGTACACAAAACACAACATAGGAAACTAAAGACTGAGCAACACGAAACCCACCAAAAACTGGGGGTGATCTAAAGTGCTCCGGAAGGGTAAGCAGATCCTGCTCCACATGTGGCACTCATTGTGTTGCTCATGTATGTACAAACCTGGTGATAAGTCTAGTTCGGTAGGTCACAATCCGGGAAAAGGGGAAGGGATTGTAGTTGGGACAATTGGAACATATCTGTTGTCATCTGTGTAACAGATATTCCATGACAGTTGACCAACTCATGATAACATTTGAATTATGAAGATGAGGTCATGGTAAGGTAATGGTTACCTACCTCCATCAGATGGACATGTATACCCAAGTGATTCTATAAACTAAATATTATTGCCCTCCTCTTTAATAGCTGAGAAACGATTAAGTATTAAACCTTCACATTGGTTAATGTATGAAGAAATGAGATCAAGGTAAGATTTCTTCTGTAATATATCGACCTTGGAGCAAAAAACTTAATGCTGATCATAAAGCCATGAAGAGGTCGTCAGTTGACTCATGCAAGATGGACATGTACACCTAACAAACATTGTACAGAATATAACTGACCTTTTCCTCATGTAATTGACCTACTGACCCAAGGGCAAAAACATAAATTTCAACTAAAGCAAGTTGTTCAACCATGAAAATGAGGTCATAGTCCACTATCATATGCATGTCTAACAAACTCTCTTTCTTTAAAATATTGCTCATCTAAATCTTTTACCTACTGAAATATTATGTTTTAGCATGTTTATATTGAAAAATGTAATAATTTGTTCATCAGAAATCCCTGAAAACACACAAAAGTATACTTTTATAATATTTTTTTATATTTCCTAACTGTGTAAGATTTCATATCTATATATCTAACAACAGCTTTGTCTATTTCTACAGAGTGATACCTATTAAAGCAGATAATCATTCATGAATAAGTGTTGTAAAGCATAGAAAGGATTATGTCCCTTTGAGAAAGGCATTCTTATAACTTGTGCAAACATTAATGTAACAAATAACCCAGGAATAAACATGTCCAACTTCTCTCTGTGTTAAATGTATTAAAATTATTCTGAACCTGACACCATTCTGTTATATTAATATAATTATCATTCATGTAATAAGTTTTATAGTCCTCCATAGTCATGTGCTCTCTTACATCTGTACAACTAATGATGTTCCTTTTTTGTAAAGTGTAAAACTTTTTCCAGAGAAGGAAAAATAAAAACACACTTACTTAAGAATGATTACACAGTATTGCATTTATTCTGTTATACAGAAATGAAAGGTATTTGGTAAACTGGTGCTACTTACTTTTCTTTGTTTTTGGAGCAGGTGCAGTGGAGGAAATAGAAGTTTTTACAGGAGGCTGAGGTGGAGGACCTAAAGATGGAAAATGTATGATTGGAAAATCACAGCAATCACTACAAGCTCTTTATTATTGACTAGCATTACTAACAGCATGGAGCGCATGATTCTCACTGAAGATATATTCAACATGGATTGATTCAAAGTAAGTACCCTCTTTTTTAACCACAAATTTTGCCACACACGAAACATAGCAATATTTGCTCACAAAAAAATATATCAATATAATTTTCATAAGTATAGAATCAAAACTACATGTATATGCAGTGAGAATCACACAATACTATCACAGTGTTTTCCCTAGATAGTTTATGCATGTTAGGCCCCATGCATTAATTCAGACCCCCATCCTTCAAATTTCATAACCATTATTTTTCAAGTCAATCCCCCATTCTTCAACTTTTAAAAACTTCTAGGGAAAACACTGTTTCATTTAACCAAGTCTCTCATACATAAATTTCTTTAAAACTATTATTACATAACTTTTCAGTAGTAAAAACTAAATTCTACTGCAATAATTCTAATTTTCATCGATAAGCAGATTTATCAGAATACTATCAAATGCAGTTCCTTTAATATGAAAAAAAAGTCATGTAATGAGAGACTTAGTTACACAAAGTTACTTCATTTTCTGTCAAAGACAAAATAACACTCTCCATGAAACTAAAACATTAACTTAGAACAGGAGGTATGATAAGAGTTATTATTTGGTCTTGAAATTGCAAAAACAGTAAAATTCTTTGATCCTTTCAAATTTTGTCACATATATTCTAACATGTATTGATGGTAGTCTTGTCATTTTAGTACAAGAAGTCATTTGTGATGTCAGTGTGAGCTGATGCACATGCCAGCTTGATATATTTGACATGAAATGGCCTTTTTACTCATACTTTTTGGTAAATTTAGATATGAGGAACAACAGCCTTACCAAAAATAGATATTTCACTCATATCACCATTTGTTTATTGCAGCGAAGTACTTTTTGTAAAACTGTTGTTCATATAAATGACTTTCCTAAATGTGTTCAAGATATCAAAATGAGGCTATAACTATCAGCAGTTTTTGGATTTTATTCAAAATAAAAGAAAGTTTGAATGCAAAAAGCTAATACAACAAAATTCAAAATATAAATATGGATATATGACAGGACTTATTGTAAAGATCTAATTCATGTTAACAGGTCTATAATATTTTTTATTTTCTTATTTCAAGGGGACACAAAAGTGGCCTTATCATACCTTCTTTACTTTAGACCACCACAAATATAAATAAAAACTTTTGTAAAGCCCTCATGTGAACATGAGTACTGCAATGACATGAAGTTGCAGCATGATATGATCACAATGTTTTGAAAACTTTTCCCACATCAGAAGTTAGTACAAGTTATTTGAATGTGTATACATTAAGGACAAGGTCTCATAATCTGAGAAAAAAAAGAAACAGAAATTGATGCTAATATCACAGCATAAATCTCGGGTCTATTAAAAGCTTTAAATAACAAATAATAAAAACCACCAAAAAAACCCAAACAATAAATAAAAATTATATTGTAAATTTAGTTTATTAATGTAAGAAATTATTTTTTCAGCAGCATATCAAAATTGGCTTTAAGTGTGCCAGTTTAATACATTTTCCCACAAAAAACTTAGGGAAAGCTTTCTTATTGGTCAATACACATTTCTGTCATTATAATTTGGAACCTACAACCTAACTTTAACTAGATTACATTGGATTACAGGGTTTTATAATATAATGCAACCCTGTTATGTCAAATAGGATATAAGGATAGAAGACACAGGTTTTAATTAATAAATCTAGAATCAAATGTGCACAAATTGGATGATAATTTCCAGATATTTTATACTTTGTGAACATGTAGCAATGACTGAATGATATATGTCAATTATATTCTCTTGAATATTGTTCTTGTTATCACCTGAACCAGTAATCATGATGAGAAAGATGGAGTTTTTTGCTGATGATTACTGTAAATTCACAAATTTTTGGGTGAATACATTATTGTGATTGTTTTTATCTTTTTATCTCATCGATATTTTTACAATAATAAAAACATGGCTAAAATTTGTGAATTTACAATGATTTCTATATAAAGGGAAACAACTCTAGGAGATATTTAACCACACTAAGACAGGATTTTTACCAGGTGGAGGAGGAGGTGCTTTTTTCTTTTTGCCCGTTCTATCCAGAGAACTAGACCTAGGTGTTGATGATGACACTGCCTTTTTCTTTGTTCTCTCTAATGGTAAAGTTTGACTTGAACCAATTTCACCATCAATGTCTTTCCTCCTAGATGAAGGAGATATATCTCTGATGCCACTATCACCATTCAAAAGACCGCCACTGTCTAAAGATGCTGTTTCTACATTTATTTCTCCTTCCAAATGCTCATCGATTCGTGGACCATCAGGCGATTCAGCACCACTTAATGTTAATTCATGATAACCACTTGAATCAGAACTATTCCGTGAGTGGTATTTATTAGAAATATTTTCAGTTCTTTGTCTGATTTCACTGATTTCCTGTTTTGATTTGACTTGTTTTTCCATTTTCTGTTTTTCCACACTAACTTCCACTTGAACAGTATTTTGAACACATTGAGCTTGTGGAGGTGGTGGCGCCCTCCTCTTTTTACGAGGAGGAGCAACAATTTTGTCACTTTCTGCCTTCAATGCAGACATTGATTTAGACTTTGAACTAGCATTTTGACTGTTATTTAATCCTGAAAGATCTAAGGGTGGCACTGTCATTTTGGCATCTGAAATTTTGTCTAAATTTGAAGTAGATACTGCATACATTGTTTTTGGTCTAGCACCTGGATTTCTATTGGACTGTTCTGATGGAGTATCCTGGGATGTAGACCGTATAGGTCTTTCTCTGCTAGGAGGTGGTTGCTCCACATAGGCATCTCTTTGAACACTTTGCTGGAATGGAAATATAAAAACAATGAATAACAGAAAACTCATCAAACTGTCTATGTACATTTTGAAATTTTTTCCCTTATTTCATTCAAAATCCTAAATTAATAATCACCAAGCAATAGCTGTAAAGATAAATGTTTGCAACATGTGTAAGTGAAAATATCCAATACATGGAAGAACCATTAATATTGAAGAAAATACTTTGGGAAATGAAAAAAATTTAACTTTCAAGCCCACATACCCCCATGGTTAAGATAGATTCTATCACACATATAAATAAGTTAGCCCTTATAACAACTGACAAGTTAGTCAAAAGATTTAAATAAATCCTCATAAAAATAACCCTTTTGGTATGAGCTCAAAATTAGGAACAGACAGGAAACTCTGAGCATATGATTTTTGTTGGCTTTTTCATTGTTCAAGTCCATCAACTGCAGCTGTTTACATGGTCTAATTTACCGCTGCAATTTCTTCTACTTGTCTAAAGTTATAATTTTGGATAACTATATTAAAGGAAAAAATCAAAAACCAGTCTCCTATGATTTATTTTCTTACCAACATTTCAAGAATATACCAACATGATACTTTTAGTCAGTCCAAAACAGACAATCAATCGGACTGGCACAAAAGGTTGAATAAGCCAACTTAGGTGAAATTATAGTGAAAGAAAGGTGAATGAGGCATTTATCTCACTTGTCCTTTGAACACATTAAAGTCAGCGCTGGATAAAGAACTTTGTACTTGGGTCAAAACTACTGGTATATCATTCTGTATGTAATGCCTTAGAATCCATGACACAGGAGAAATACTTCAGCCACTTACCACAGAAAACTTTTTACTGTTGTCTTTTTTGAGAAAGGAGAAGAAACCTTTCTTTTTCTTCGTCTCTCCAGCTGAAGGCATGTAAGAAAGGTTTTGTTCTGTTCTCTGATTTCCAGACAGATTTGGCATAGACATGGCACTATTTACAGTTCCTATAAAAGATTTAACAAATAGCAATCAATATGTTTGATTATATGAGCAAACTTCAGATTTCCTGAGAATTGTAACAATTTAAGTTCTCAATTTTAGTTTTAGCCCTTTTTACCTGTTTTTACGCTTTCACTCAGTCATTTTATTTCTCATTACATCTGTTCATCAGTGAACCATCCTAATCCAGGCCTTACAAGTTGTTTTCAAAGTCTAATTAAACTATTAGAGATTTAGAAAAAAATTGATATAAGCAGTAAGCATGGTAAAGAAAGCTTACAATTTTCCATTTCAAGTCATTCTTTAAAGCTTTGAGATTTCATTATGCCCTACTTTTTCTGAACACACCATTTAATCTATTCATTTTCTGTATATACTATTTCTTTAGAAAATATAAAAAGATTTTACAGAGAAGAGATTTATACAGTACAGCAAATATTTAATACCCAACCAACCAAATCGTAATTGTCACAGGTTCAAAATACAGTATACATATATACTTTATAAACAAGTCTAAATTGAAAACAATGTTCAAACCTATGATTGCATTGGATAAAAACCGCAATTTTTATACGTGTGTATGCAAAACAAATTTCTTGGTAGTGGGGTCTAAATACAGCACAAACAACATTTTCCAAAAGACCAAAAAAGTGAAGAAGTATATTTTAACAAAACGCATTTGACTAGCAGGTCGAACAACGGATGTTCTTAAAACCTGCTGACTGCCATTGGCGATTACCAAATAAACGGATCACCAGATGTAACAAAATGGATCTTAACTATTATTTTAATACTTAACAGAAAACAATAAACTTGCAGAAAAAATGGTATACCGCAAACAAAAGGTGCAAAAATTAGTACAAATATCCGGATTTCGACAATTAATGCCTCTTCAGTGATGTTAGGAATTGAAACGGTATTTGGAAGACCATATAATTTACCTCAATTTAGGATAGACTCTTGAATTTTGAAGAGTCGAAATAGGATGAATGGATCATATAAACCCGAAGGCAAATATAATACAAGCCCAAACGAAAAAATATAAAAAAGTCTAAATTGAAAACAACGTTCAAACCTATGATTGCGTTGGACAAAAACCGCAATTTTTATACGTGTGCATGCAAAACAAATTTCTTGGTAGTGGGGTATAAATACAGCACAAACAACATTTTCCAAAAGACCAAAAAAGTGAAAAAGTATATTTTAACAAAACGCATTTGACTAGCAGGTCGAACAACGGATGTTCTTAAAACCTGCTGACTGCCATTGGCGATATATTTTTTATATACATCTCCATAGCCATAGAAGTACATCAATATCTTATGGTAGTATTTCATTTTCTAAATTTCTTACTTTAATACATTAGAACTTTTTAAATAGGAATAACCAGGACTGATGATTAACATCCTATTACATGAGGTACAACATAAATTGTTCTTAACAGGAAAAATGGAATTTGGACAGAAAATGTGTGACCCATTAAAATCTTAAGAGTCTCCTTAACTGTATACGTATAAGATCCTTTCTCATGGTATATTTAATATATTGAAACAGGGATTTGGAGTACACCTTTGGTTTACAGAAAGGACCCAAATTACAAGCTTGTGATTTAGGTTCATTAGATCAAGATTTACTGTTTTATATAACTTAAATATTTCTTTCCTATTTCCCTAAAACTAAATCATTAATTTGCTAAGCTATTCCTTCTTAATAGTGGAATTTGTACTGGAACAGACTATAAGATGGGTAAAAGGACAAGGATGCAGGTATAAAGTAACATACTGTGGATTCACTATTATTCGTTGGATACCAATTTTCGTGGGTTTCGTGGGTAAAGGTGAACCACGAATTCAAATGTTTAACGAATAACATATTTTTAATAGGCTTTGTATACAGAGATTGGCAAAACCACGAAATCAAATATCCACGAATATGCAAGTTTTGAACAATCCACGAAAATTGATACCCACGAAAATAAATGAATCCACAGTAGTTACTGAAGAAAACTGTTGGTTCTGTTTTGGAAACTTCAACCATTCTACATGCTAAACCAAACCAAAAAGGCAGCAATGATCCAGTGAAATTTTCATGTCCAAAATGTCAAACTATACAGCATATGCTCTAATTCTCAACCTGCTCAAAATAGTATGCATTGTCCTGACCAGTATACTTGACCATGAATTAATCAGATTAAAAGTGCACCCCAGTACTCTATCAATGCATATCTATTTAATATTATACCTACTTACCAGTAGAGAAGTAATTTCTAAACCTTCCTCCATGAAAGTCTATTTAAAAGTGTCGATACATACTTCAATCAAATCAGAATTGTCATGCTTGATAAGTCTTTATGTCCCTGACAATTTAACTACTTACTTAATGTACTCAAAACTTTGTATTTTAAAATTTCATTCATGACACTTATTATAATACTCAATGATAAATTTATTTTGGATAATTGCAGCCTTCCAAAATCTATATGCACTATGACAATATTGTTGTGAATGGGAAGGGTTAACCAATATGGCTTGTTCTGATCACAACAAAACTCAAGTTCAACTTGCAAAAATACTATACACCAAATAATACTTCATCATTTTTTTTAATGAAGCAATATTTTTCTGAAATTTCCAAGAATTTAAAAAAAAATGTAATTTATTATTGTTAATTTATGATCAGTTTTAAATGAAAAAGGAGAAGAAAAAAAATCTGCATCTGAAGCTCAGATTTTAATAACTTACTTGGCCAGGGACCAAAAACTAGTCTTTCCTACATATAACTATTTATAATTATTTATAAAGTTTTAGTGCCATATATATGTGATTACAGTAGCAAGATACTAGAATAAGGTCAAGGAAAATAATACGATGTGCTATTGGTTACAATCTAGAACCAAGTAGGGTTGGTTGGTAATTTATTTCTATATTTTTTTTTCTTAAATATTAACTGAAAATTACATATTTTGGGAAATATTGAATACAATTGTAATTCATCTATCCTAATGTATTTCCCTTGTTAATAATTATCTTGGTGACATTGTAATTTTGTTTTTCAAGTATAATGCAAAAAGCTGACTAATATGTGTTGTCACCTAATTTCTTACAAGAGGTTTGTACATATATGCCAGAAGTTGAAACAGACAAAATGGATTCAGTTTTGGATCAAGATTAAGAGTAAAACATAATTTTACTATTATGAAGGTTAATAAAAATTGAGTCTAGGGTTGAAATAGGAGTCTAAATGTATTTTTTCTTTAAGTGCAAGATAAAATAACTTTCCCACATTTTACAATCCGGAAAAAAGCTATGCCAAAATAAAATCTCAATTGTTTGATGTTGCCTCCCTATCCATCTAAAAAGCAGCCTACCCAAAAAAAATTATGACACAAATCATTTCAAATTTTTTTTACAGATTTTTTCTTGCTCTAACATTGTTATCTTGACTAAAACATGTAACTTATGTTGTTGGCCAAAAAATAAATAAAATCTCTACCACCTACCCAACTCTAGAAGGCATGGGAAGGCAGCATCAAACAAAGAATTTCTTGAGAGTGACCCTAGCTTTACTTGCTTGTGAAACTTTGAAGGGGATCCATAAATGGTCCTGATATTTTTAAAATTATTCAAAAACATGTTGTAGCTTTTCCAAATGAACTTTGCTCTAACAAAAAGGATACCAATAGTATCTTGAGTTCAGATTTTTTTCTCTATGTAAAACAGAACCACGGTCTAGCCCTTTAAGACAGTATAAGTATAATATTTATTGACATGATAAGGGTACGTGATTTTTTAATGGTGCTGTATCATCCATATAGTCTCAGTAAGGGGAAACATAATTATTCATTATTATCTATCATTTCTTTTGTTTTTGTTTCATTGCAGATTTACTTTTTTACATGTAAACTGCACAAGTGACCTTCTCACACAACCTTATAGTTTAAAAAAAACATAAAAATCTCAGAAACCCTTTACAAGGCTTCAACACTATATTAACTGGTAGATAATTGGTGACAAATTATTAGTTTTTGTCCTCTGATATTTTTCAATGTATTTAGAATGAATTAAATTTTTACTGAGAAGGACAAGTGATTATAAATTATAAAACTTATATCAGTATAATTTCTGAAGAACATGATATTTTATATCTAATATTGTTAAAAATGTCTTTAGTTCAAAGATTTGGTTTATTTACTTATGATATTTTTTAAAGTTCAAAATCTTAGTATATCTTTAGTATGTTGCATTATAATAGTAATCTCATATTCATACAATGCTGGTCTTAAGTATGTCCTGATAAAATGTCCTGAACCCATAAGGCCATTGTAATGAAAGATTGGATTTCCATTTTATAATTCTACCCAAAATAAATTCAGTCCTTCAGCCCTTGGGACTATAAGAAGCTCAAGAAATTCAGTTAAAAAAAAATACACATCCGTCCCCTTATTACTCATCAACTTTTTGGGCCATTCATATAAGTTATTTAATTCTAATCCATGGTTGAATACAACAAATGAAACTGGTATTTTGTAATCAGTTTATGTTCAATTTACCTGCACCAGTCATGTTTATTTCCTGGGATTTCAGATCTCCTACAGTCAACTGCATATCAAGATTGTTGTAGGGATCAGAAGGGAGTTGAAATGTGTAACGAAAAGGGTCGAGATGTTTCTCTGAACATATTTGTTGTCGTATGACTTCCAGTTGTGTATTGGGACTTATGCGTAGTACTTTCTTCTGATTTTGAGGTAGATTGACTGTAAATCTCTTTGTCATCTGTAAAATAAGGATAGGGAGATTAATACATACTGAATAGCTATAAAATATTATAATAAATGATATAGCCTACAATAATCCCTGGTATTGCAAACAGCAAATTACTCCAGTTTTGTACATATATCAAGCTGACTTTTTTTTGTTTTTTTGGTTTGAATTGTTGTACATTTTGTCCTGTTGGGCCTTCTATAGCTTGCTATGCGGTATGGGTTTTGCACATTGTTGAAGGCCATAACTTGACCTATAGTTGCTTACATCTAATTGTCAGTTGGTCTATGGTGGGTAGTTGTCTCATTACCAATTATACCACATCTTCTTATTTTAATGTAACATTTTTATTATTTTGAAAGTTCTGCAACAGTGCTATACATTGAATCATGAATAATTCATATTATTATTCACCATAGAAATATTAATTGCAGTTTGTAGCTTGTAAAATATAATGCTCTTGTTCATACTCCACATTACCTTTGCAATAGCCAAAGATTTCTTAACTTAACATTTTACTGTTGCTGAGAAAATAGAAAATTATCATTTAATGTTGAAATATATTGTGAAAAACAATCTCATCTGCAGAGATAACAACTGGTTCCTTTTCTAAACAATGTGTCATATGACATTCCATAGTTACATGGTTAAGTTCATTCAAGAAATAAGGAGAAATTTCTTCTGTTAAATCATCCCCTGTCATACATAGCTAACTAGTTTCTAGATACATGTAAATAGGTAGTGCCCTGTGTGAGTTATGACTTGTAGATGTGGTGTCATGTCACTAATGTATCATCAATGAAATGTTCCTCTCTCCTTTAGCTTGTGTGTTGTTTACAAATGTGCTTCCCGTATTTGTAATTAAGGTAGCACACTTTTAAAAACAGCAAAAATGTCACTCCATCACATCATTGATTCGCTTTATTCACATTGTGTGCATGTACATAATGGAATTGTGTGACATCTCACAATGTGCATATCAAAACATGTATTTAGTCACATCATTCACATAATGAGCTTGTACACTAGAAACAAAATAATGCATTAATGTTGGTAACCGTTTCTCAATATTGATGCATGTGCTACTGGCATTGTTCAAATATTTACCAAAAATATTAGCAAACAGAAGTTTGGAATGTCATATGCTACACCAAATATATCTTGCATCCACAAAATGTTGGCCAAATATTTGTTTATAGGTATTTAACACATTTACTATTATATAGAATATTGTATACATACAGATTGTTTATACAACTGATTTAAAATAAATTGTTTTTAATCAGTCGTATAAACAAAGTCAAACAATACAGGTTATTCTGTAACTTCTGAAACTAATAGAAGAAATTTGTATCGGCAATACAGGTAATGATCGATTCTTTATATAATAAAATCTTAGATTTATGGAGAGATTTGAAAGAAAAGTCTCCACTTACAAAAGGGACAATCACAACAGTATGACGATGATATAATGATGGATTTGTGTTCAATGACCAGTGGCAAATATTACATGCATATCATTGATTGTTGCTGGCTTAGGGTCCAGGGGTAAATTTTTCATCCCTTTTCAGGATGAGAATAAATTAACAATCAATACAAACGGTAGGTTTTGCAAGGTAGGTCGACCTGGATGAAGGGAGAGAATCTTGGACTTCCACTGTAAAATGAGTACGGTAGATATTGAACAGGGGCAAGAAATATGCCTCGCAACATATCACCTATAGACTCATGACAAATTATAACAAGGTTTATCAATAGGCAGAGTACTAGGCACTCACCCTACATGAAGTATAAAATTAAAAGACCACATTCCAATAGGATGTAGCTGTTGATTTATACATCAACATATTTATGAATATGAACCCGTTGGAGGTTTGTATAAGACCAACATGCTTTTAGTGGGATTTTTAATGTGCCAGTTCAACAGCCTATGGAGCACATGTCTCCCTTCCCTGGGACACATGATTGTGACTTGGAGCTAACCAGTCTTTTTTCTTAATCCACAAAGAACCAGCAAATATCTATTTATTAGTCTTCTATTTAACTGTAGGCTGGAAACTTTACCTACTTCTCATGGTTGAGATAGGATCGCTACCGCAAGGTACAATGTATGTAGTGTAAGGTAAGTAAGTTCAAGAACACTGATGCTTGTAAATCCAAAATAAAATGTCAACCTCTTGAAACAACAAATTATAACTGGTAAAAAAAATTTGTAAGGGTTCCGCGGAACCCAGTGTCTTGCCTACTTTTGCTGTTAGTCGCAGGCTCAACAAAAATGACGAAAAATTATTAAAAATTTTCCTCTAGATACTATCTTTTGATTGTAAGATATTTTGTTCAAGTTTGGTAAAAATCCAAGAAGGTTTATGAATCTAATAAATGTTTTAAAAACTTTAACTGCAGACTGTACGTAATGTTAACTGGAATAAAACTAAGTCCATCTATAAGTAATATACGGAAAAACAGAAAATAAATTTTTACAAAATTTCCTTCTAGATACTAGCTTTTGATCATAAAGAAGCTTCTGTCCAAGTGTGGTACAAATCCAGGATAGTTTAAGAAAGTTATTAAAATTTTGAAAGCTTTAACCACAGAGTGAATGTAATGTTAACTGGCAGATAAACTAAGTCCATTTATAAGTGAAATACGGATAAACAGGATTTTTTTTTTAACAAAATTTACTTTTGAATATTATCTTATGATCACAAACAAGCTTCTGTCCAAGTGTGGTACAAATCCAGGATAGTTTAAGAAAGTTATTAAAATTTGAAAAACTTTAACCACAGAGTGAATGTTATGTTAACTGGCAGAAAAACTAAGTCCATATATGAGTAAAATACGGATAAACAGGATTTTTTTTTTACAAAATTTTCTTCTGGATACTATCTTATGATTATAAACAATCTTCTGTCCAAGTTTGGTACAAATCTAGGATAGTTTAAGAAAGTTATTAAAATTTCAAAAACTTTAACCACAGAGTGAATGTAATGTTAACTGGCAGAAAAACTAAGTCCATTTATGAGTAAAATAAGGAAAACAGGATTTTTTTTTTTACAAATATTTCTTCTGGATACTATCTTATGATCATAAACAAGCTTCTGTCCAAGTTTGGTTGAAATGCAGGATAGTTTAAGAAAGTTATTAAAATTTCAAAAACTTTAACCACAGGGTGAATATTTGTGGACGCCGCCGCTGACGGAATGTAGGATCGCTATGTCTAACTTTTGCGACAAAAGTCGCAGGCTCGACAAAAATTACAGATTGAATGATGCAACATGATGAATTTACTCAACCTCTCTAGAAATCATCAATAAAATAACAGATATACTTTCCAACCCTTACAGACAGTGCTAATGGGATACCACTACTAAGACAAAATAGATCTCAAGTTTTTAAAACAAAAATCTCATTCCATATGAAGCTTAAACTTTCACAACATTAGTACAAATAACAAAGAAATAAATATGTTTGTGATACTAAAAATTTATAAGGGGTTCCATGGAACCATGTGTCTCACCTACAATTGCTGCTGTCAGTGTAAAAGTGTAATGTTGACTTAAAAAGTCAGTCCATTTATCAGTAAAATACAGAATTAAAAAAAAAAATCATATGCATGAAGGTTTACAAATTTATCAAGTCAAAAAAATTTAATCTCAGACTGTCTGTAAATGTTAACGGTAAAAAACTAAGTTCATCTATCAGAAAAATACTGAAAATGAAAATATATTGTCAAAAGTTTGTGTCAGACATAATCTCTCAATCATAAAATAGCTTCTGTCAAAATTTCATTAAATTCTATGAGGGTTTGACAAAGTAATGGATGTGTAACAAACTTTAACCCCAGACTGTATCTACTTGTTAACTGTAAAAAAATACTAAGTCCATTTATCAGTAAAATACAGAAAAATGAAAATAAATATTTTCAAAATTTTGCTCTGGATACTGTATTTTGGTCATAAACAAGCTTCTGTCCAAATTTCCTAAATTTCGATGAAGGTTTGACAAAGTTATTGATGTCTAAATGTTGAAGCAGCAGACGGAATCTATGATCGCTATGTCTCGCTTCCGTGAAATTTTCGCAGGCTTGATAAAAATTGTTAGTGTTTTTACCTTTTCACCCTTCAAAAATTTGTAAGCACTAAATTATTTTAACTGGAATATATATTCATTTATATGATGTAGAATGTTAACGACTTATAAATATTCATCAGTATTACACAAGTCAAGTGACTTATAATATTTATCAAGGAAATTACATTTTATAACTTTGTCAAGAGTAGTCATTCATCAGTTAAGATTAGTTTCAAGATTCACTACAACAGTCTATCTATCTTCATAAGACCAATCAGTATAAACATACATGTATCAGGAACAATTTATACAAGTAGAGAACTTCAATGGTAATAACCCTTATAAATCTATTACTTCCTTGTTCTACTATAGTCTTAATTCATATGGACACATGCAATTTCAACACTTCCTATATAAAGAAAAATGTATACATGTATATGTACATGTATACAAGAATATGTTATAAATTATATAGTGTGAATGCTTGCTATTCATTGAAGGTGTGAGTTGACCAGATAATGTCCAATATGATGGCCATTTTCTAGGAGCTGCAACTGAACTTCAACCATATCAACATTGATTCCTAATAAACCCTAAATTATAAGGACTGTACAGTAAAATCAGCATTCCCATTTCATATATAATTCTAATGTTCTGAATTAATGTCTTATTTCCTCCCTAAAAAAATAAAGTTGTACTGAAGTCATCTCAAGACATCTATAGGAATCCTGCATTATTCATATGAATCAGTATCTTTGGTATATTGACATAGATCATCTACACAGGACATGAAATAAAGCTAATATTTTTTACAGGAAAAATGAGTACAGATCTTTGTGAAAACGAGGGTACTGTCCTGACATCTTAACTGAACTTAATTTCAAAAACATAAAAACTAAATATCTCATGTTTTACATGGACAAATCACATGATTTTATGACTAACCTCCATTTGAAAATCGTCATCAACTCTTAATAAACAACAAGTTAAACATTCCATTGTCTTTGATATTTTATGGTGGTCAAGATAATTTTCTTGTTTACATTTCTTGTTCTACAGGAAGTCAACTTAACGATGACAAAATCTTGTACAACTAATACAGTTTCCTTTTATCGAGATGTAAATGAACGAGATTTAATTTTGACTAAATCGATCTGTTTAACACTGTTTTTTTTTAACCTCAACAAAATTTTGGGGATGAAAAGCACACACATATCATCTTTAAGGTTAAGTTGGAAGTTATAATGCCTTGAATTAAATGTGAAGAGAGTTAATGATCTCGCACTGAAAATCTCAAACTGTATGACTTTGATCAATTTGAAACTTATAAGCAGAAAAACTTAGACATGATATACCATAACTGACATCAAAAGACAAATCCAGAAAATCTGCCAAGGAAAACACCCGTGTCGGTATTGATCAGAGGCAGATTAAGGGGGCCTTAAGGGCCATCTTATGGAGCTGCATTTTGTACATATACATGTATGTTTAAAACATAGAGAAGTCCCACTTTTCATGTTGTCTTGCCAGGGGCCCCTCTTTTTCAAATCCTGGCTTTACACGTGTCTATAAGGCATAAAACTTGTAACTGCTAGGATAAATTTTGTTCAATTCATTTCCATTTAAGATGGGCAGAGAAAGTGTTTTCATCAAATCCCACACCAATACATGTCTACAGATCCCTCACTCTTAATTGATTGCATGCATGTCTACAGATCCCCTTACTCTTCATTGATTACAAGCATGTCTACAGATCCCCTCACTCTTCATTGATTACATGCATGTCTACAGATCCCCTTACTCTTCATTGATTACAGGCATGTCTACAGATCCCCTTACTCGTCATGGATTACATGCATGTCTACAGATCCCATCACTCTTCATTGATTACAGGCATGTCTACAGATCCCCTCACTCTTCATGGATTACAGGCATGTCTACAGATCCCCTCACTCTTCATTGATTACATGCATGTCTACAGATCCCCTTACTCTTCATTGATTAAAGTTATGTCTACAGATCCCCTTACTCGTCATGGATTACATGCATGTCTACAGATCCCCTCACTCTTCATTGATTACAGGCATGTCTACAGATCTCCTCACTCTTCATTGATTACATGCATGTCTACAGATCCCCTCACTCTTCATGGATTACAGGCATGTCTACAGATCCCTTCACTCTTCATGGCTTACAGGCATGTCTACAGATCCCCTCACTCGTCATCGATTATATGCATGTCTACAGATCCCCTCACTCTTCATGGTTTACATGCATGGTTACAGATCCCCTCACTCTACATGGATTACAGGCATGTCTACAGATCTCCTCACTCTTCATTGATTACAGGCATGTCTACAGATCCCCTCACTCTTCATGGATTACAGGCATGTCTACAGATCCCCTAGCTCTTCATTGATTACAGGCATGTCTACAGATCCCCTCACTCTTCATTGATTACAGGCATGTCTACAGATCCCCTCACTCTTCATTGATTACAGGCATGTCTACAGATCTCCTCACTCTTCATTGGTTACATGCATGTCTACAGATCCCCTCACTCTTCATTGATTACATGCATGTCTGCTGCACACACTTGTCTTGTCACAATATTATGCAAAAACTATTATGTGAATTAAGATGATTAACATAGTCACCTTCTGGCAGTATATTTACATGAAGTGGTGTTAAAAATCTTTAAAACTGTGTCAAATTCTGACAACTTCCTGAAGGTGTAAAAGTCTATCAGTATCACTGTGCAGTGCACAAAATATTATGTATTGCTACTTTTATTTGTCCATGTAACTCTAAGTTGGAATTGACAATTTGTTCAATATTAAAAATTTCAAAAATTAACATCCCATACGATGACTTAATGCAAAACAAAAAATTTGCTTTATTTCTAATTGTATCGTTCATTTGTGTCACAAATATCTAGTTCTTATCAGACTAAAAGAAGAAATAAAAGTACCTGAATTCTGACTATGATAGAATTTGAAATAAAAGACTTTCAGTTTAATTCTTCATGCCATGGCCATTTTTGTCAGGTTTTCTAGATTTTTTTAAAAGCAAGATTTCTGTGGTAAGAGAAAGTGGCAAACACTAGTCACAGAAGTTTGAAACTAATTGATGGTTCTTTACTAATTTATTTTCCCCCCTACTTTAAATCCATTATAAAGATTTTGACTTGTCACATTTATTAAATTTGGGAAACGTCACCAGCAATTCAGATTTTACTATAACTATATGACCCAATTTAAAGTTAAGTTTTTTATATATATATTACATTAAAGACAATGTTTTACAAATTTTATATCTACATTTAATATCAATAATTTATTGTTTTTGAGAGTAGAATTCTAAGCAATCAAAATGCATTACAACACATTTAAATTTTAGTAATCATATCATGCGTCTATTGTCACCATTAACGTCAAGCATGCTCTGGTGAACTTTTAGTATTCCTTATAAACATATCTTTTGACATAAAGTGTAAACTTAACCAAGTCCATCTTATTCACTTTTCCAATTTTCCTATTATTTCAGTTTACAAGTAAGTGAAATTACTACTTCTTAGAGATATAAACTGTATCTAATTGAATAGCTAATTCAATAAATTCATAATTATCTATATCAATTACCAATGAACTAAAATTAATATTCACAGTCTGCTTGGTAAAATTTGTCAGTGCAAGTGCATATGTTAATTGTGTAATGTTGGTCTGTATGCAATAGTATGTCATGGTTATAGCATTAGAAAATCAACAGAATGCCTCCTCTATATATATTAGGTTTTTGTCCATATCTAAGTAGCTTTGTGTTAATGTAAGGGTACATGTATAACATTTTTTGTTGACAGAGTACTAACATATTAGACTTATATCTCCTAAGTTAATGTTATATGCATCAAATTCCAATTTCAATTGCAATTTTAAAATGATTTCGTGTGTGTACTGATGATCTGTATATTATAATCTCTGCAACATCATACAACACTAAATCTTAAAATGGTCAGCAAACAATGCATCTGGTGATATATACAGCTAAGCACATTGCTGGGATATATTAAAGTCAGTTCAGATATCCATTACTCCTTGTATGGACTCCCAGTGATTTTCTTTAAATGTTTCAAACACAATCATAAATGTTCAAGAATATAATGTAGGTCATCTTCAATCACAAATTTTGCCTTGACTCAAAATTGGCTTAATAAACTTCAGATCTATCTCATAATAAATTTTTTTAGAAAAGTGGAATTCAACTTTCCAAAGAAAAGGACCTGACTGTTTTTTGTGTTAAACTTGAACAGATCCTCACAAAATAGTACAACTGTAGGTCACTTACTACATGTATCTGGAAAATGAACTCAATTGTATAATTGGTTACAGTGGCCTACCATTTAAGAAGGGCTGCTATAGTCCAATAGCTCTATAATTGTAGGTCACATAGACAGTATCTAAGATGTGAACTCAGATATAAATCTTAATAAAAGTCAATGAAGTCAGGTGACCTATTTGTTGAGGGAGGCTGCTTTTCTTCCTAAGATGCATCCTAACACCAAGTAAGATGTAAAAAACTTAGCATCTGAGATCTGACATACAATGTAATACTTCATCAGTCAATGTAAGTAAAAAGCCTCCTTTTAATGGGAGGTCCTTGTCAAGATGCATTCTCATGCTCAGTTATAAGATTGTAGGTCACTTAGTGCTTGCTTACTAAGGTATAATCAACGCAGGTATAATTTGAATAAACTGATCTTATCAAAATAAGGAATGTCATACAACAGCCATGTTTTCTCCTAATCAAACTAAAATGAAAACAAAGGGCATGAAATACAGTATACCTGCTAACTTGGTTCATATTGGACCAGTTTCAGACAAGGCTGAAAAACTTGACAATTAAGTTTTTTTAAAGTATATCCCTATATCAAGGTATGTGAAAAAACATGTGGAACTGGAAAAAGATCATTCATTAATTTTTTCTATAGGTTTTTTCTTGAGTGTTCTGTGTATTTGAATATTACATGGGTAGATACTTATTTTTAACCATATGTCAAACTCTAAATTCTCTTGTTTACATACATACCTCAAAAGGCTGAGCATTCTTAACATTTCGTTGCTTTTCAGAATCTCCCTTTTTAGGAGCTAATTGAAGAGTAAGATGTCTTGGGGTCCCATTAACATTTTTAGGACACAGGGACCCAATAGTTTGGTTTGGTTTATAATCCACTGGTTTTCTTGTTTCCTCATTCAAAACCACAATTGTATATCCTGCAGGACTTAACTTATTCGTTGCTGCTAAATTCACTAATAAATCCATCATGGGAATGCTGAAATTAACAAAATTAATAACTATAATTAAAATTAATTAAGAAACACTCTACCTGTGAATTTTCACCTGTGTCAGAACATGAACCACCTGTAGTCAGTTTTAGAGTTTTCTTCTTTCTTTTAAACATTGTAGTTTTAGAATAGCTGTAGCCATGCACTATTCAAGAAAATCTATCAAGAACCTGACCCCTTGGTTTTTAAAGAGTCCCTCTAAGGCACATAACATCCCTTCTTAATATTTCCATTCAGGTGTTGTTGTGTGTGTATACATATTGACAAGCAGTGAGGTCACATGACCCCTCAATGGATGAGCAGGTAAATCTATTATAGTCTGTTTCTTTTTTAAATCAAAATCAGATTTATATGTTTCTGTATTTTCCCTAATATTTGCTTATTTATATATGTAAACTCAAGGATTTGTATAGTAAGACACTATACAAATCCTTGGTTAACTATAGTAATTTTTTAAGGTTACTTTTAAATGAAAAGATGAAAAATAAAATATATTGCTACGTTAGTGCTTTTTATTACAAAATATCATCCTACATAAAAAGATTATTGCTCTGACCTTGGACTAATGATTGTTTAGTCCCAGTCTTGACACATAATTTCGAAAACTTTTTCTATTTTCAATCCAACAATTTATATACATGTAGCTCAAACTCATTTTCTTTCTAAACAAGTGAATTTTAAAACAAAAAACAAGAACATCATTATTTGTAGTTTAAGACTACTATAAACCAGGATTAAGTTCTTTTTATCTGCGATTCAATTAACTTGAAACTTTTTATCTGTCTTTAGATTATTAATAATGGTTCTATGTGTATTTAAAAGGACTAATAAACCTTGCATCTACTGCATTTCATTATCTGACAACTCTTTACAAAATTGCCTTTTAAATATGGGATAAAACTTTTTTCAGAATACAGAAAAAATTATTGATGGCAATACTGCTCTAGGTATAATAATATGCATGAAAATTATTTTGTGTTTTTTTTTTATAGTATTATAATGAAATTAAGTTGCAATAAATGTACTTCAGAAGTAAATGTATGATTTTTTAAATATCTTATTAAGAAGGATAATCATACAATTGATTACCTTTTTCATTTTTTTTTCATTTTGATACTTACTAGATATATCCAACCTTTCCTTATGTGTTTATGAGTATATTTTTGTGCAATTCTCCCTTTTTATATAGATTATTACCTTAACTATCAATATAGAATAGACTATAATATTAAGATCAAAGCAAGAGTTGATCAATTTTAAATTAGTTACAATTGAACTAGTGTAGATTTCAAAAAGAAATTCCAGGTGTGTAAAGGTTTGTCCAGGTGAATACATCTCACTGTATCCAGCAGTGTACAAGTCTCTAATTACAGGTGTTACTATGTTAATTACAGGTATTCTGTGATAATTATAGATTACACAAAGCCTCATGATTTATTAAATTCATAATCTCCCTGGCAAATGATATCTGTCATTGTTTAAGTGATCCCTAAGACAGATACTCTGGACTTACTTGGGGTTTTTATATTTAAGATGACACTAAATAAAACAAGTTTAAATAGGAAAAAAATATGTTTGAACAAAAAGTTTTTTCTTCTTCAAATAATAAAGGGAAAGAGGGAAAGATTTCAAACATTAAGAGATCTGTGAATTATTAAGTTAAAATCAAATGTGATTAAAATGTATTCCTAAGTTTGCACTTACTAAAATTTTAAAAATTCCCTGGAAGCCTTATTCCAATTGTTTCTTAAAAATCTCCCAATACAACCAGTCTTTTGAGAGGGACATGGGATATGTAAATATAACACAGTTTTGTCAAGTTAATGTTATTTTGTTGTTAAAAATAGATGAGGTTATGATTCTCTATTGAAATTCCTACACAAACAAATAATAAATTTGAGGAAACACTGTTTAATTGCACATGATAAAGTTCCACAGCTACCTGAAATGTTCAATTAATGATTGAATTCATTTACTTTTTTCATCAACTCTGGATATTCTCAAACAGTATAAAAAAATTTCAGTAGTTAACATTTTCTCACAGGTATATCATTTAGTTTACAAGTTGATATCTAAAACTTTATTCAAAACTTCTTTGATCTGTATACACACACACATATGAATTCAATCCCTACCCCCTTTTTTGTAAAAATTTGAAAAAGTCATTTTTGCTAAGCAACTCCCCATAAAACTCATTTGGATCATAATATGAAATAGGTGCCCAATGGCGTTTAGTTTCTTAAGAAAGTTTCAATGAAAAGCAGTCAGTGTTTCAAGAGGAGTTGTAAATACAAAACACCTTCCTTGTTTAGATAGGGTTAAACCCATGTTTTGCTGTGTTTCCAAAAATCATTGAAATTAAAAACAAAATAAATAAATGGGGAATGTGTCCATGGGACACAAGATGACGCCCCAGCTTGCATATAACATTATAACGTGACATGACTAACGAACAGTAAAAGTGAAATCACCCAAATTCGAACTTGATCTGAGTTTTGTGGTAATAAGCATTGAGTATAAGTTTCCTAACATTTGGTTGAGGCAAACTTAAGTTAGTGACAGAAACAAAAAATTCAGCAATTTTTCCATTTGTAAAGGGACATAACTCAAGAACAGTAAAAGTGACATCACCCAAATTCAAACTTGGTCTGTGTAATAAGCATTGTGTATAAGTTTCATGACATTTGTTTGAGGCAAACTAAAGTTAGAAAACGGAAACCATTTTTGGACAGACGTACACAGACAATTGTAACACTAAATGCCCCCTTCGGTGTCGGTGGGGGCATAAAAATGTACACATTGCTGTGTTTAGCATACCCCACTTGCAATTCAAAGTTCAAAAATGTATTGGAAAACAGGAATAAGTGTCTGACAGATCCAAAAGGGCTTATCTATTACAACTCATCACAAGGCTGCTGAATAAATATGAAGTCATTCTGGAAGATAGTTTCTGAGAAAAGTGTGATAAAATAATTGTTTTCATTCAACATTTTGAAAATTCAAATTATTGGCAAACAGGAAGGAACTAGTTCTGTAAAGTGCTTACAGATCACGACTCATCACTGTCAAGGTGCTGACCATTTATAAAGTACTTCTATTAAGTAGTTCCTGTAGACTATTTTTGCTGGACAAACAGAAGAACAGACAGGGTGATATAGACCAACAAAGTTTCATTGATATATACTCTATGAATCAGGAGGAAATAAAGATAAATAGTGTGGAAGGATGAATTCTGTAGGAAACTGTTTACTTAACATCTCCCACACCACTAAGGGTAAAAAACATTGCTCACAACACATATAATATTTTCTCTCAGTATACAATCGTTATTGTGTTGTGTTTTATTTGTACTCTTTTACAAATCTGACAATCAAGAAAAGTTAAATGCAAACATTCATTTTACAAAGTAAGGAGTTGATTACACACTGAAAGAACTGTGATAACATTAAAGATTAAAAAAAGGTATGGCAACATCAACTTCCTCATTTCAAAAACTTGCACAGCAGTTACAGCAATTCTATTACAAGTTAAACATGGTTTGACATACCAAAAAATATTTATACAAAATTTCATTGAGATGTGTATTGACTCAGATTACTGTCCACTAAAAAGAGTCAACACTATAATTTGAAATTAACAATTTATTCAGTTCACCCATAGGACTTCTTATTCAGTGTTGATGATAACTGAAACCAAATAGAGTTATCTCCCATGCCTCAGTTTAAAACTTAAATCAATAACCATTTCTGAACTTGAGAATTACAGTATATTCTCTTGTACTGCTTAGTTTTATAAAAGTTTTAAGATCTATTGTAAATCTTGTTTACTTTATTATCAGAAAACAACTATAACCTTCTAGCTGGTACCAGAACAGTGGCTAAGGCAAATATAACATGCTGATGCAGACTATTATAGAACACATTTCCTGGTCTATTGTGTGTTTGAGTGACGGAGTGTATATGTTTACTTTGAAGTTGATTGAGGTGGTTATTATACTCTACACTGCTGATTATGAATGCTTGTTTAAGTGTATTCACTTTGCCATTCCTCTTACAGGAAAAGATTACATTAGTTGTAATTGGCAAAACCTTTCGGAATTTTGGGTCCTCAATGCTCTTCATCAACTTCAAACTTTTTTGGCCTTTATAATTTTTTTGATTCGAGTGTCACTGATGAGTCTTTTATAGACTGTCTGTCATTCAAAATTCCAAAATCCTGGTACCTATGATGAGTTTATTTACATCATCTAATTTTCTGTAACAGAATAAGTACAAACTTACTTAGAGTTGACACTTGTGTCCCTGACATTCCCCTCTGGCAATAGTACTGTCAGTTCTACATTCTCATCAGCTATTTCATTCATGTTTTCATCATCTGGTGGATCATTTGCATAATATAGTGAAGTACTTCCATTGCCATTACTAATCACAGCCGTGTCAGAATTCTTCTTTTTCATTCTAGGAGGAGGAGCCCCCTTCCGCAGGGAACTCATTGCCCTACTGAAAAAGAAAAAAGAAACCCATTATCTTTAGTTTATAAAACTGAATAGTTACTCAATATATATGCACATCACTCAGAGTTTGATACTTTAAGTTATGATTTTTAACCAGAGTTATCTCTCTTATAATAAATAATAAAAAAAAGATGTGCATATATGTCAATGCTGTTTAAAATTCATGAGTAGCAAATTAAATGCATATTCAGGTCAAGAACATGTAATGTTGTATGAAAACAAACCCAATGCAGTAGTAGAATGATTTTTAACATGCTAGTTCAGAGGGTAACAGTCTGCAGGAAGACATGTCACCCTACCTGCCCACATTAATTTCACTCCAAGAAGACCAGTCTTTGCTCTTAATTACCCCAAATTCCATGTGCTTAGCAGAGAAGCAGCAAATTCTTAAACAGTGTGATCAAGCCAGGGATCAAAACCAAGTCCTCCCGCACTCGGGGCTAGCACAACAACAAGAGACCAGTTTGAGGGTATTAATATCAGTACAAAATAGATATCTTCTTTATTTTCTACAGTTCTGGTCCTTACTGGTACCAACAGTAGGGTTATCTTCTGACAAATTCTGAAAATGTCAACCAAACAGACATTTCACACCAAAACCATTTATCAAAAGTGAATATGTGCAAGCTCAGAACAAAGAATTGAAGAACTATGTTTAATATTGCAGTTTAATTTTTCTTTCAGGCTATTAGTTCTTTAATATTTCCTTGACATAAACAGAAAACAAAGGCACACCTTCCTCATTTGGGCAAATATAGATTAATGTTTTATATTGAATTTCTAATATAGTTTCCTGTAACAATTGTTTTTTTTTAAATCTTAGTAAACCATAACCTATCCTTAAAGTGAAGCATTTAAAAATAAATCAAATATTTAAACACACAACAATTTGTTTGCTCATTATATATACACATATATGTCCTTGTTAAATATATACATGATTAACCTGTCCTTGTCAGCAGGTCCTTACGATGTGTGTACTAAATCACCTACAAAATTAATTTTCAATTATACATGGACATGAATAAGACTATTGTTTGAAACAAATATCTTTTTTCTTGTAGAAGATATTTAAATCTGGTTTCGTAGCTTTTGCATTATGTAGACAATGTTGCTAATTTTAATTGTTACCATTCAAAGTATTTAAGAAAAATGGAATTCCCAAAAGATCAAATCATAGGGCTGTTTTTTTTCAATAAGAGATTTGATTTTTTAACTGTCAAGTCTAATAACTGATAAAAAAATGTCTTACTTTGAATGTCTAACATAAAAAGGCAAAAATTCCACTAAAAGGAGGAAACCTTTATTTTGTTTAGATCTAAAATGAAGAGTATTCTGGCCGTATCAATTGCTTTTGAGGCAATAAAACACTATTTCATATTTGGCATACTGAATATGTATAGTTATTTGGACACTGAAACAAACAATTTTATCTTAAAATTGTCTTCATTCAATAAAAGATATTTAAAAATACAAGTACTGCAAAAAAGTTTGCATTCATCTGATAAATGCCTTATTTCCTACTAGAAATAATTTCTTTCTATTATCTGTTGTGATTCCAGGGGTGAGTACTTGTCCCTGGGCAAGTAAAACTGTAAATTTGACTTGTCCAGAAAAAAAGTAACTTGCCCTGAATTTCCAATAAAAAAATAACTATTGAAGTACCGGTACATGTATCAATTTTACTGTAAGCTTGTATGATTCTTAAAACTGTTCTTAAATATTGTTGTATCACAATATAAATGATGCTTGTGATATTTGTTTATGTGTATAAATAAAAGGAGGTATCGGGTTACATCAATGAGACATTTGATCACCAAGTTGTGGGTGATCATTGGTTTCTTTTCCATAAAATAATACATCTTAATTAAAGTGGTGAAAATCATTCTATATTTTTGATTAAATTTAATTTTGTCAAGTGTTTTTTTTACTAGTCCACAGGTAACTGATACAAAAAAAAACAAACTTGTCCAGGTGTTAAAATGTACAAGGCGAGTGAGTCGGTTATAGCATTTCCACATCCCTGGATTCAAACTTGAAAATATTGATGAAGAAAACATGAATCACATTAACCAATTTATCATTCTAATTAATACATGTAACAAGAATGCATGTGTTGTTGTGCTACGGATACCCAAACTTGTAACTCAAAGAACACACATAATGTATTGGAAAAAAAGAAGTATGATGTTGGCCACATATGAAGTGCTTCCATGTTTTATAACAGCTCATCACTATATATCATGACAAAGTATGAAGTCATTCTGTTCAGAAGTACTGGAAAAATTTGTTTGTTTTTTTTTAGTTTATTCAACATATTGAATATTCAATGTTTCTGCAAACAGGAATGGGTGTCTGACAGTTCTGAAAAGTGTTCACACATTACAATTCATTTAACTGTTAAGCTGCTGACCAAATATAATCTTTTCTGTTCAGTAGTAACTGATAAAAGTGTTATAAAAATGTTTGTTGGACAAACAAATGGACTGATGGACAAACAGATGCACCGACGGACAGAAAGACAGACTGACAAGGTGATTGCAATAATAAGCACCCACTCGTAGAGTGGAGATATAATTTGTTAGTTAATTGGTTTCTCAGTCAAAAACTATTAACAGCTCCTGAACTTTTATTCCATTATATTGTTTACTATTTCTTTACAAGGATTTTCCTTTCTATTAGAACCTTGCCCATTTTTGTCTTATTCTGTTAAGTTGTTGCCTCATCTTTGAGAAACCTATTTCTTCTCTTAATCCTATAGTAGGAACTCATTTAATTCACCTCAAAATTTACTGATGCTGACACAAAAAATACATAGACACTTACCATACACACTGAATAGTCCTTTAAGTAAGAAACTAAAGGTTTTACTTTTTCATCTTTACATCTAAATATGTTTCATCTACAGTCCTGTCTTGAAAAGACAATTGCTTTATAGATACTTCCCTATCAGGTGTGCTTTTTCTATCAACAACAAAAAATTCAAGATTTTTTATGGAAGATATTCTAATAAACAAAAGGCAAGAATTCATGCACAAATGTTTCCTTATATGATAAATATAAGCTGAACAGTTCCCGTTTACCTGTGCATTGCTTTGCACATGATTTTTAAAACTTGAAATGAGTCTGATACTTAACTAAATACTACACCATAGAGGGCATACAAAAGGAATGAATTATGTTTCCAATAACCTTGGTAGAGCATTTAGGCACCCTGATTCTATTAAATCTCACTAGGATCACATAATAAATGAATTTTTCAAAGTGTTTTTTTATCAAATAAATGTTGGTTTCTAAAAATGATAAACCCTTGTCCATTTTTTAAGATCCTATCATGACCTCTTTTGGTCATTGTGTGTGTTGGAATGCTGTCACTTGATATATAAATCAGATCTTTTATTCATATAAATATTACAATTGGCTGGTCATACATTGTAGATTTTAAATGAAACTAGTGACCTTATAAAAAGGACTAAACCTGACCAATTAATTCTGGCCTTATCTAGACATTCTTCTGATATAACAAAAGTCAAGTCCTTTCCCAAATAAATTTAAAGTTGGAAGATTTACTAATCAATTATTTAGATTTCAAATACCACTGACCACTCATGTTTCTTAATAGAAAGAAATTGTATCTATAACTTGATATTGTCCTTATTCAGACATAAAAACAAATTCAATCCAGTTTAAAATAGACAAAACTAATAAAACATTTATTGCTATTAAATTTAGTTGCCCTCTAGACAAAATGAGAAGGTCGATTACAGAATAATATTGGTTTTGTGACCTGTAGTATCCATGTTTCAATTGAAATAATTATGTTTATACACACTGTCCATATGTAAACACTATATGTTTAAAGTAATGGGTCAATGGTCATACAGAAAACAAAAAATAATCAATTAGCATTGGTCAGTAGTTACAGAGACTATCCTGTGATATCTCTATTCTGTAATAACCCTAGCTGTCACCTAAACATCCTATAAGTAATTTGTAAATGATATGAACATTTTCCCCCACATGACAGAACAGTGCTTTGTTTTCCAAAAAGGTACCATAGTCATTGATGACCTGGTGGCATTTAACTATGTAATAAATTATTTTTCATTTCAAATAAAAAAAAATTGCATATATTCTACAAGACACTTATAGCAAATTTTTTATTGTTCTTATCACTGGAGACCTTAAAATGGTGGTATTCAAGATGAGAAACAGTAGTTCAGGCTGTTCAGTTTGTTTATTTTTTTTTATCAAGAATTGAATGCATGTGTTGTCTTACCTGATTTTTGAACTTGCAAGTTTTATTTTCAGAAATTGAAGCTGGAGATGAAGAGTATACCAGTGACAGTCTTGCAGACTTACTTTTAATTATTTCTAGTCTTCAATTTAGGAAACTACATTTTGAAGGAGCTACATAAAAAGACATGTTTACTGAAGGCACCAACTAGAATTATAAGACTTGATCTTTCCTGAGTCAACACATAGAATGAATGGCAATCGGACTGTTGTTCAGATCTTCATTTTTTTCAAATAACATATATTGAATCAAATACATGAAATAAAATAGTTTTTCTGCATAGAAAAAGAAAATAAGATATTTTTGTTTTGTATTTAGTACGCTACGCCTACTTTCTGGTTAAGACAGCTGATTCCATAAAATTAATTTCTTTTTAAAGAATGTTTTCTCATCAAATGCAAAGCAAAGGATAAAGAATTGTTCTGAAATATTTAAAAACATGCTGGCAAATAAACAAGATCCAATAACATGCAGCAATATATATATATTTTTTTTAATCCCTTCTCTCATAATTCTTTTTAGAATGGCATTAATTTTTTATATTGTTTTATGTATTGGTGTATTATGTTATGTATTGTAATATTAATGGTGAGACGTAAAACTATTTGTATTGTATTGTATTGTATTGTATGAGGTATTTCAAAGATTTAACAATTCTAGGTCTGACACTTTTGTTTTGGCTACATTTT